GGGGTGTCGAATGGGTGTGCTATACATTCGTTTGCTGCCGCAGCTCCAGTGTCAAAAGGCAAGACACACAGAGGAGGAACACAGGGCGGCCGCAGCAAGGCGGTCTTTCGAACGTCGAATTGTCGGCGATGGGGTATGCTTTGCCTCTAAGCGCGGGAGGCTGCTGCACCAGCCTGTGTAGATGCGCGTATTCTATGAAGACCTGAAATTTGACACTCTCACTCACAGCTCTTTGCCGTTCCTCCTCCGCCTCTGCTAGTCGAATCCGTTCCCGCTCGTCCTCCTGCTGCTGCCTTTCCACCTCTCGCTGTGTGCACGCAATCAAATAAGCGCACAAGAAGCAGCAAACTCAGGCACAGGTCGCGCGACGAACAGCAGTGTGCTTTGTTCTTTCCTGCCCCTTCCTCCTGTGAGTGCGACATACTCGGTGGTACGATAGAATACGACGCTTCCGACGCTGTCCCACACGCAACAACACGTAATTTCATCCGCTGCTCGCCCTACGTCACGCGGTCCAGTCCATGACAATGCAACCCCTCCCGAAGGAGACGAACACAAGTGGGTGACGACGAGGGAACGGCTTGCGCGTTGATGTGATCGGACTCGAGCTTGCTCCATCATCCCCTACAGGTAAGGCAGCAGCACATCGGGGCACTTTTTCATGACGGACCCGACGAAAGAAAACCATGATCGCTAACGGAACGTTCAAGATCACACATGGTGCTACGTACAATAGCGTGCCGCTGGTGCAACAGAAGAAACTAAAAAGTTGTGTGTACGCCTCGTTGCCTACGTGTCGTTGCTCGAAACTCTACCTCGTCCCCATTTCCTTCTGCCTTTCTGTCTCTGTCAAAGTTCTGTGAATACAGTAGTCAGCCACAGCAGTACTATCGACGAGCACCTCCACCGACAATACGAAACAAGAGAGGCCGTGTGATCGAGGATGTGATTGGTCTTGTAGGAATGTGTCGTGTGATGTGTCGCAAGTTACGCACCAACGCTGACATGATGCAAACTTGCGCTGAGGCGCCGCGAGAGAAGAAGAACAGGGGAGGTACGTAGCCCTGAACGACGAACGGCAACCGACCTTCCGCGCCTCCTCCGCACTGACGGCTTCACGCGACTCGTGTTGCGAAACGGCGGCTGTGATCTCGGCTTCTACCTGTGGCAGCCGCTGGAGAAGCGCTTGATGCTTGGCGCCGAGAGCAACCACCTTTGGCGAGTTCAGAACCACGAGGGCGGGTTAGGCGAGAGGGAAAACAAAATTGTGGTCGGGGAGGAGGGAGAGAGCGAGATGCGTAAGTGAGTGAGGGTGTTGAGGGGGGGGCGTACCCACGTTGTCATTTGACCATTAAACACAGACAAGAACTGCGCACGACTCGTCGACATGTAGTCCAAAAACAAATTCAGGTAGGTGTCATCGAGCCTACTAGCCGGGGTAGCCTGTCGACGTTTGCATAGGGTGCGGGCGTGGCGAGCGGGTCGGGGCAGCGTTCACAGGAGTTCGCCAGCAGTAACAACCGTTTCTCACCTTGGCGGTCATGCTCTCCCCGTACCGCGGCGCGCCCGAAACAGGGTCTGTCTCGTTCAAGCGCCTTTCGAACTTGGACACCTTCTTGGACAATTCATCTTCCAGTCGCCCCTGATTCGTTTCGATATTAATGACGTTCGAAAGTGTTTTCCGAGATGGAGGTGTTCATTTGACACACACAGACAGCCGGGCATAAAACAGGCGGAGGGTGCGCAGCAGCAGCCCCCTGACGGCAAGCGTATCTGCTTGTTATAACACTAGGAACAGTTGGTTTGCTGCTGTTCCATGCCTGCTGTTCAGATATTCTCGGACGAGCTCGCTTCGTGTACGATGCACAAAGCATGTTCTTGCGTGCGGTGTGTCCTGTCTTTGTCGCCGCACGGAACAACACTCGGATTGGATTGTACAGAACTCCACGCTCCGCTATTGCATGCCCTCCGTGCGCTGGTCAATTCACTTGCAGAGATCGCGCAGGTTTGAACGCAGCCCTTTAGCTCCTACGCTGTGCAACTAGTGCATTTTAAAAAGCAATCCCGGAACATAACGCAGCTCCGGCACGCTGCACGGCCCCCACGACATAAAAAGGGACGGAGGAAAAGCGCCTAGTATGCATAGAAGCAAATGATAACGACAGACCCGTATACAATGTACCGTAGGTGACATGAGATACCACACCCACAGAAGATAACCGCACCCCTAACGAAATTGTACAGAAAACCACACCCGTGTGATAATTTCTTGCATCCTGGAAAAAAACATCGATTTATCACGCGGTCACAGAAGATACCACATCCCCTAAGTTGAGCCGTAAATATATATCACGGAGCACCCTATCACACCGGTGTGGTAGGCCGTGATCACACACATTTTTTGTGGACTATGGAGCTAATGTGAGAAACAACAACAAACAACAACATAGCGCACGCAGCAATCCTGCACTCCAGCTATGGCAACCAACAACACCGCGGAGATGAACGAAGCACACAACACTGCTCAAAGCATCGCGGCTCAGACTCCAGCGGCAGTGCCGCGCCCAACGACGTCATTTTTTTCTGTGGCGCCTGAGACTCCCGCAGCACTCGGTGTGCCTGTCACCGCCCGTGCTGCCGAGGCCCGCGCAGCAAAGCCTACTGCTGACACTCCCCCAACAACACCTGCTGCGCCTGGCACCGCCCGTGCTGCTGAGGTCCGCGCAGCAGATTCTACTACTGCTGACACTCCCGCAACAACACCTGCTGCGCCTGGCACCGCCCGTGCTGCTGAGGTCCGCGCAGCAGATTCTACTACTGCTGACACTCCCGCAACAACACCTGCTGCGCCTGGCACCGCCAGTGCTGCTGACGCCCACACGACACCACCCGCACCCCAGAAACCTTTTGTGAGCACTTCGTGATGATAATAGTGGAACGTTATCTGATGATAATAGGTGTGATGTTATCACACCCCTCGTTATCGCACACGCTGTAGGCTGGGTCGTGTGGGCGCACTTCTTCCCACGGGTGACATTTTCACACCCCACCTTTATTACACCCCCTTCTTACCACACCCCTGTGGGTGGGGTCGCGTAGGCGCAGTTCCATGGGTGACATTATCGCGCCCTCTTTTTATCACACATACTGCGGAGTGAAATCCTCTTAGAGCAGTTTAACACACGGGTCACACAAGATATCACACCCCCTACAGAGTACTGCAAACATTTTTGGACTTTCAAACATGTTATCACACGGGTGTGGTATCTTGTGTCACCTACGGTAGTCCAGGGGGTGTTGGAATTGTAGCCCCTAGTGACAAATCCTCTCGAACTTTCTACTTCCAGTTGTGCGTGCGTCCCTGTGACCGCGTGGCCGCCTCCTCGATGTTGTATACGCTCGCGCGCGTTTCTGTGCAGGAGAACATGAGTACGCTTTCGCCTGCAACCTACCAGCAGTGCCGTTGCCTTCGGCAACGTTGCGGAAGGGCATGCAAGGAACCTTTGCTGCGATGCAACTTCACCATAAACAACATGACATTTCTTGCTTTGGCCAGTCTTGTAACGGTATTGTGAACGTTTGACTCTCTCTCAAGAAAGTAACAGCAAGGCGTTGTTGCAAGGTGGCCGAAGTCTGTACCGTAATTTGCAATACTGTAAATACCACACCCCCTTGGACCGATTTTCAAAGTTCGAACACTCGGCAGCAAACAGTCATTGGGCCGAAAGTGATGGCGTTGGAACCGTCTCGTCGACAGCTTCCCGAAAACGCATCATTTGATTGTGGAATCCTCTTCGTCGTCGAGTAATCGAGCTTTGAAAATCGGCCGGGTGGGAGTGGTATCTTATGCAACCTACGGTAGGCGAAGGCTTGTAGTAAACTTGCCTTCGCTGTGGAGAAGGTCGCTAACTTCTCGGGTGCCAAAGTGGAAGAATCACTCCCGAGAGAACCCAGCAACTCCTCAAGACTCGCCAGATCTTCAGCTGTTCGCTTGAACTCCGTCATCGATCACCATCCAGTTGAGTGTGCGGGTGAGTATGCTACAGCAGTCGTGGAGGTGCAAGCGCGGAGTAATGAGCTACTGCGCTACTGCTGTAATGGGGGGCGCGCATACAAGATATCAATATACCCAACGCGAAATTTGAAAAAAGTGGGAGGACCTCACACCATACGGTGTGTGTATGCGTGCATGTAGGCTTATACCAGGTGTGCTTTTGTGTTGAGGACACTCAGACTCTCGTCATGCCATAATATGCTTGCGTCACTCCTCGCTACTGTTGTGCCATAACACTTGCGGCGAAATGCTAGAACAAAACTCGATCCAGTGTTCGAATTCTTGCCCATTCTGCGAAGGAAATTTGAAATTTGCCTGGTCACCAACACAGCGGCAATTACTCCTGTCCTCCTCTCGTATCTGCCTGGTGTGTGAGTTTGTTGAAAGCAAGCCGACGAATATCGACGGCCTTGCTAGTCCCAAGCTGGCTAATTTTTGTTTGCTCATAGTTTCAGCTTGAGAATGGAAGCGGGGACGGACTCCTCATGCACGCATGCTGCTGGCAGTGGCATTGCGATCTTCGCGAAAAATGCAAACACTGCTGCTGTACACTCTGTACCGAGCGAAACGCGGGTTGAAAACGGCCTATATAGTATGCGCCAGAAAAGATTTTTGTGTTGAGCAACGGCAATCCATGAACCTGCTCAGCACAGCATACAAGCGGTGTTGCTGCCCGAGTGTGTCTGTTGTGCGGTGGCCTAGCGGTTGATGCACGGTCGCATGTAGAATCTACTGCTGTTGTTGTGCAACGAGTGCATTATCGTTGGTGGATGCAAGATGGCGACAGCCACCGCATCTCCATTATCTCTGCAAACCTCCACCTCGAGGCAAATGTTTTGTGCACGCAAGGGCCTCGAGCACAAGCTTCAGGAGAAAGAAAAGCTACGAGATCTCCCTTGTACGTACAAACACTTGCTCCCTCGTTTGCAAGTAACAGTGGTACTCCAGTCGCCTTGCCCCGCATCACACCCATCCAGATCGATTCCAAGGAAAAATCGCTCGCTCGCGCAAACACACCTTGCAACAAGCAATCACCTTGGTTCGTACGTAAGCAACATGGCTTTTACTCATCCTACCAGCGTATGAAGACTTCAAAAGTACACGCATAAAGACGGAGGGTGCATACCCTCATTCGAAACAATCGGGAGGCGGCGTCGACATGATGATGTAGTCCATGCTTGGCTTGGTCATAGGCTACGCCTGTATTCAGGAACGAAAGCGGAATAGGCAAACGATGGGACCGAAAAGGAACAACGAATAGGCACGAAGCAAAAAATAAGTAAACGAAGTACACCAAGGACACTCGTACATAAATGCCGAAATTTCCTTTGAGAACGCCTCCCGGGGGTAACTCAAAGGTAGAGAGAGGGGCGATCTTTCGAAAAAACAAAAAACGGGGCGAACGGCCCCGGGGGGGGGGGGGGGGACCCTTATGTTTTGCATGCCTTAGCAGCTAGACCATTGACCACGCGTCCTCGAGAGGACGGAGCATTGTTCCCACAGAACCGATCACCGATGGCCAATCGTTCCTTTCTACTTTGCCAAAGGTGGCTCAAAAATGTCTTCCCTAGTCTGTCTATCCTAACGATATCCCTTCCCGCCTTTNGTCCCAGCCCAGTCACGTGCACTTCCCTCTCTTCCTTGAACAACGGACATTCCGCGACTACATGAACACGGTCTTCGTATTCGAAGCCGCAATCACACTTGAACTCGTCGCCTTCATCGTCTACCGTACTATGTCTTCGTCGACGTTCTCGAAGGCCTATGTCCCCGGTCCTGAATTTGACCTTA